CTCCTGTAGCCAGTGTGCAGTGGGGCAGGCATTTGCATAGAACTTGAGGAAGACCCAGAAGAACGCAGCTATCACAGTAGTCTCACAAAGCTGGACATTATATTTCAAGTGACTTTGTGTTGTTGTGTACAAATATAATAAACACATTAAGCTCAAAGTGCATAAATGTTTATTACATATTTTATAATAAAAATGTTCATAAACAGTATATGTATAATATAAAAGGGATATAACAAGAAGTGAATAAGCACAGATCAGGCGGTATTGCACATGAATAAATAAAGCTGATGAATTACAAAGAAAAAAAAAAAATAAAAAATCAGCGGCACAGCCATGATAGCATGTAAGGCTGCTATTACAAATTGACATTCAGGTTGCAGTAATAATAGTAAAGTATCAGTAAGAATAGAAGCCCAGTGCTGTGTGTAATGACAGAGGAAGGCACACAGTGGAAAGTATTTTTGTCACACAGAATATGAAACAAATATATGTTTATTTAAAATAAATAGTCACGTATTGCTAGTAATCAGTTGCTACATTTTAAAAAATACATCCAAGAAGAAATAAAAAAATAACCACTAATCAAGTGTGATCACAAGCAAAAAACTCCTTGGAATGACTCAAGAGCGTGACAAAGATTGACAACAGACTCATTTGGGTCCTAAAGCCTTTTCCTCTCTTTGCCCGTTGACCTTTTTTTTTTTCACGGAAATGTCGCCGCGCACCTTATGAATTTTATCAATTGTAGTCTACCTCAGTATACATCAGGTTTTTGTCCCAGCATAGAGGTTTTCTTTTTTTAAATTATATTGAGATCTCTACAGCAGGACTGCAAGCCCAGGAGCTAATCAAATCAGCTTCAGAGCTAAGTGCTGGACCAGGACTGTCACTGACAGAGGACAATACCAGTACTGAACCCATCAGGTACTGGCTGGAGATGCTAAGACCAAAATGTTTGAACTTCAACCGAAATTGAAGTTCCGTTGTAAGAAACAGCAGGCAGGCTTTTATTACAGAGGGACATGCACTGTCTCTTTTGCAATAAAAAGCCCTGACCTGCCTGCTCGCTGTCTTCACCAGCACTGTAAGTTTATAGTGCCGAGTTGGTCTCTGAGTGACTAGCTCCTGTGCATGCACAGATGTGATATCAACCCCCTTAGGCCAATAAGGAGGTCCTCAAAGCAGCACTCAGAAGAAGATGCTGGTACTTGGCAAGGAACCATTGGAAAGGTAGGCATTCACCCTTTTGTTCCGCTTTAAATTGCCATTGGGACAATAAGCTGCATTTGGGACTCAATTGGTTAAGGAAACCTATTTTATTAGAGGACCCCAAGGTTGATTTTGGATACAGTACAAATGAGGTCTATATAACATTTATTTACCTTAATATCAGTGTCCCCTATAAACCAAATTTGAAGCAGCAGTATGTGCAGCGAGGGAATTGCAGGGGGGCATGCCAGGAATGGCCTCCATGATTTGGCTGCAGGGAAGTTTACCCTTATGCCCATCCCTGCCATCCTAAAGCTTTTGTTTAATGGAATCACAAAACATTCACATTAGCGAAGCTCGATCGTATCAACATTCCATAAGAACACTCTCACTCCCTGCATCAGTGAGGGGAAAAAAGCTTTTTAATTAAATTAAAATTACTTACTAAAGCTGGCCACAGATGGATCGAAATTCAGCCAGTTCCTGCGGAACTGGCCAAATTTCAATTCATCTATGGTAATTTCTGCTTGAGAGGAATCAACTTCATGATCAACTCCTCTTGAACAAAACTGTTGGTAAATTTTTGTTCGATCAGCGCTGCAATGCTGATCAGTGTATTCTGACACTGGAGGAGTGCCACTGTCAGAATACCATAGTGCAGTGGGGAGAATTCTCCCATCCACATTGAATCATCTATGGCTAGTAACTTAAGATCTATTTTATTCCATGTTAAAAGGGACCTGTCAGACAGCCTCATAAATGTCTCACCCAAGGCTCTTTATTCTGATGCTGTCATCTGTTATCCAGGACTAATGCAGTGCCTTGAAAAAGCATTCATACCCCTTGACATTTTCCACATTTTGCCATGTTACATCCCAAAACGTAAATGTATGTTATTAGGATTTTATGTGATAGCCAACACAAAGTGGCACACAATTGTGAAGTGGAAAGAAAATGTTAAATGACTTTCAAATTTTTTTACAAATAAATATCTGAAACGTGTGGCGTGCATTTGTATTCAGCCCCCGAGTCAATACTTTGCAGAACCACCCAATAAAATACATGTACGTTTTTGGTTGTAACATGACAAAATGTGGAAAATCTCAAGGGGTATGAATACTTTTTTAAGGCACTGTATAAGTTCTGGGACAGCGATCATCAGGGCAGCTTCACGAACAGTTACTCACCAGCCCTATAACAATACCAGTCCTGAGAGATGGATAATGGCAGCCTCGAACATTGGATAAGGACCTCAGCTGAGACACAAAGCTTGGGACATGCTCTCTCCTTAAACATTATTTGTAATAATGTTATCTCATGCAAAGCTGGCAACTAATCTAAACGGTCAAAATACTTCTTTCTAGACACTTACTTTACCCTATTACTGTTCACTCTTTGTACTCTAGAACAAACCATAACTATCTAGGGTGTAGAGGTCTGTTTCCACATTTCCTGAAAAACATGGATATTATTGAACAAAAAAAGCAACACAAATAGTAATCACATTTGTAAATATCTTACCATATATATGATGGCGGTTATCAATATACAAGTTTGGAGTAATGTTTGGTATTAAAATCAAGATCCAAGATCATTTCTGCTGGCAGAGCCAATCTATTTTTATTACATTCTCCGCTTATCAACACTGCCTATTGTTGTCCTACCTATCCTCTTTACAAAATGTAAAATTTTCTTAACAAGCACCTTTACTTCAGTAACTAACACAATTCTCCGAAGGCAGAGAACAGGGCAATGTAGAAACTGATTTAACAAAACTGATTTTGGTGTATAATGTATCACATGTAAGGCCTTCTGTAGTCAACCATATCTGCAAAGTGTGGAAGAGTATTGAGAGACAGGCTAAGCTGTCAATTAACCATTCAGAACATTACTTCCACAACCTCAAGTCCCTTACAGCAGCCAACAAATGAAGCTTAGCAGAAAACGGGAATAAATATTAGTGGAGGCTGGACTTCATGGCTTTCACACCCTCCCCATATCCCTGGTCCCACCAGCATATATCTGTGGATAATAAGCTTTCATTGTCCACATAGTCGGTCCAGGGATTTTAAAAGGCTGTCTTCTTCCTCTTTGTTCCTTTGGGAAACTGGGACAGATCAGAGTAATTCTGATTGGTCAGCACTGTCACATGACTGTTCTGACCAATCAGAATGGCTCTGGTACTGTGGAACCCTGCTCTCTGGTGACAGCAATCCTGCTGCGTTTGTGTAATTAACAGCACCTGCACGCATCTCACATTCTAAAAGTAACTTTTAATGTGAGGTCTATTAAGTTTTGGAAAATATGTTAAAAAAAAAAGTGTGTATGTATGTACACACACATACACATATATATATATATATATATATATATTCACGCACACACTGTGTATACTTGTGTTTCAAGGAACACGTTAATTATATCTAATTACCACTAAGTCTCCTGATTCTATACAAGATCTAAACCTCTTATTCAGATTTGGTTTTGTTAAAGCTGAAGTTTATCTGAAAAAAAAAAAAAAACAAAACCCTCTACAGTGGCATTGCTCATCAGTAATGATGTAAGTCACGCAGGCAGCTGGATCCTGTAGAAATCATCTTTGCAGGTATGCTCTTCCTGTTTCTGAAAGTCCAGCACTGTGATGGTTATTCGCTCTGGATCATGGAGCAGAAATGCAGTGAAGATGGACCTGAGGGGGACCCGCCCTCTCCCTCACTGAGAAAAGTGCTTTCATTGTTTACACTGCACTGACAATCAACAAAAAAAAAAAATAGGAGAGAGAATCATGTCATTCATCTGACTCTCCCCCACTCTGAGACTGTGTTTCATGCAGTATAAACAAGGAAATACATTTTCTCAAAGGATGGGGGGGGGGGGGGCATCAGAGTATTGTTGCTGCAGTACTACCTGAAGACGCAAAACTATTAAGCATCACAGCGCTGGATGTTCAGACACCGAGGACTTGAATCTCTGCAGAGAAGATTTCCACAGGACTGAGCTGCCTGCACAGATAGGACATACTTTATCACCGAAAAGGAATGACACTAAAGATGCAGATTATAATTTCTTTTTTCAGTTAAACTTCAGCTTTAAGAAAACGAAATTTGTTTAAGAAGTAATGTTTTTGTATACATATTCAGGAGTCCATGTTCCATGAAACAAAAGTGTGTGTGTATAATAAATATATATTTAAACACAAGAAAATAGTGAGCATATTACAGGTCACACTGCTAAAGAATAAACATAAAAGCTAGCTATTTTTCCCCTTTAGTTCTCTGCAAGTTATTTTCCTATACTTTCTTCATACAAATGTTTCTGCATTGTGTTCCTCTTCTGCACATACTGTGCCAAATACAATGGCAGGTACAACAATTTTCCACCCATAATCTGGACTCCTGCCAACTTCCATATTGCACTTGCAGTGACATACAGACACCTAGTGACAGCTTTGCATGAGATTACAGGGAGATAGCAGCTAAATAATACTGAAACATTCTCTGTGGATTGTAAACTGTTACCTGTTTTGCCCTGCAAACCATCCAGTAACATATTCAAATAAAGTCTCTCTATTCTACATGTGTGTTTTATGTTGGTCCAATATAATATGTTAAAAACTTTTTTCTTAGATAAATGATCAACATCTATAAAGTGTGCATTTAGATACAATGTGATAAATAGTAGTAGCATTTTATTTAAAACATTCACCAAAAAAAAAGCGTATTGTATCAATAAATATGCCATGGATCAGCTCTTTGGAAAGGTTTGTGCAGATGATATATAAAACTTGCAGGCTAAAGTTTCACTGTAACCAAACATGCTCCGGCTCTTCCAAGGCACAATGGGGCAACCTAAAACACACAAAAAAAGAAAAGAAAACCATTGTATTTTCAATGCAGTCACAAATTAACTGAAATAACTGTGTAAATGTAACTGCTTAGGGCTTGGCTTGAATTTTTAACATGTTCTGCATTTTTTTAAATCCTTTTTGAAACTTTTGTTTTAGAGCACCACAAAATGCTGCCTAGAAATGCCACCTGTCCTATAATTTTTTTCAGCACCCACCAGCACAGTGCATTGGTGTAAATGAAAATCTTGCGATATGTGTTTCTTGCCTTGTTCTTTATGTTGGGACTGCAATGGGCAACAATGCTGGTATGAAGAACCCCTAAAAGGAGAAATATGGGATTCTAAAAAAACAAACATACATATTCACCTCCATGCTGCAGCATTGGTTTGATGCTGCAGCTGCCCCCCTGCTGGCTCTAAGCCCGAGAACAGAGCAATCACATGGCCACTGATTGCTCAATTCTTGGTCCACTTTGTACTCTGCTCCTCCAACACGTCCCACGGTGGGTAGGGGGCGGGTTTGGCTGGCTCAAGGCTTTCAGGGGCACACTGAGAGGCTAAGCCAGCTGCCGATCAGGCATTTGGGTGGATCCCATTATTACTGTTGGGATCCTTCCACAGCCTGAAGGGGCTCTGTGACGTCTATCGACAGCAGGCTTTAGCCCACTTTTTGCTGATTCCGAGTCACAGGAGAGTACAAGTGCACTCCTGTGACCCAGAAGAGAAGTATGGCCATAAAAGCTTTGGTCATACTTCTCTCTTAAGGAATACTACTGTTATAGCTGTATATAGAAGTCACCCTTTGCAATACACAAAAGTAGCAATTCTGCAAGGGCACAACAGAGGGTGCACCCAGGCTGTGATTCAGCCAGTACTTTTGATGCTTAGAATGAACTTAAAAGATTATCTGATGAGCAGATTATCTGCTGATCTTAAACTGCTCAAAGATTTTGATGGGTGCTTCTGAGTTCAAAAAGGCAAGGGAGGGGAATAATATATTGTTTTATCCAGCAGCTGTTTTCAAGAGCTGCTTTTCCTGTAGGCAAAAATCCTGCTTAAGTTTTTGTTGCAAATGTTCCACCATTCACAAAATTTTTTCAACAAAATTGATCAATCACATGTATTTCTCTTTTTTGAGAAATAGAGTCCTTTGCACCTCCCTGGTTGGTAGATCCTTTGCCGGTTAAATCATGCTGGCATATCCAACCATCTTCCAATGTCTATGGGTTGCTGTAGACTTGCCGCCATTAAGTGACTAATGATGGCCATACACCAGTATATATGCATACGAACGAACATTCTCATTAGTACATTCAATGACTTGATAAATGTTGAAAGTAGTTCAAAATTGAATGTTAAAAACAAATGTTTTACAGAGTGAATGGATTTTCCTGAATAAAAACGATAATCACTGTTACAAATTCACTTGAGAAAAAATTCCCATCCTGCTCCTTTGAATTTTCTTGTCACTGCGAAAACAAACATCAATTTGAGCCCACTAACAATTAGAAAATTTTCATTTTCAGAAAGTTTGTTCCATTTACTAACAAAATTCTACTAGTATATGGCCAGCCTAAATGTAAGGGAGGTGGAACTGATGATCCTTCCTATTTGAAAATGTTGGTGAAATCATTAAAAATAAATATATTTATCAACAAATATTGCTGCTAAAGCTACTGACCTGGCTCCATTCATTTGACTGTGGATCGTAGGCTTCCACATTATTAAGGTAACTTTGTCCATCATAACCACCAACAGCATAAAGCTTGTCACCCAACAGGCAGACTCCTACTGCATCCCTGCTAATGCTCATGGAGGCCACTGAAGTCCACATGTCTGTTTTGGGGTCATATCTATAAAAAAAAGTAATATATTACTAATGTAAGTAGAACTCACATATCAACACAGCAGATGTAGCCCTGTTTAACATGATTACATGAAACCTGTACTGTTAGAGTAAGTTGCCTGGCTGTGGTATTACAGGCATTGGTCAGGGTGAAAGATTCAGGAAAAATTGCTCTGCCTAGTACATGATCTGCAAAATGGAATGTCTTTGTGGATGGAAGACTGGAGCATAGCAATTGTTCCACACAGTTCTAAATCTTCTGTACAGAGGTCACAGACATTCCTCATCTGCCCTGCCTGAAGTGTCAAGAGAAAACTGTGAATGATTTTAAATACAGTGCCTTGGAATTTACAAGAAATACAATTCTCAACATAAACAGGTGTCAGAAAAATGTATATAGATTGTATTAACACATTGATTTACCAAACATAACATACCGCAGAAAATCTTCCAATAAATCACCTTTTCGACACCTGTTAAACCCTGCTGTAACTGCACAAAAATCATTAAATGTAGCAGTACTTCAGCAAATTTTGTGTTAATTTATAACTGGCTAGTGTTTCAAATTACAGAAAGCCTGGGATAACATTGATTTTATAAAAAAGAAAAAAAAATCTTGTTATCAGCTTTGCCAGTTTATTTCTCCAACAGTGGAAATGAAATGTTACCTTTCTACACAGTCTGAAAGGCGAGATGTTAAATTAGAAGCTGGAGCGTCATGTCCTCCAATTGCATAGAGGAAACCATTCCATGTGGTGACCCCAACTCCACCCCTCCTCTTGGACATCTGCGCACACAGGGTCCACTTATTGGTGTGAGGATCAAAGCATTCTACAGACTTGAGGCAAGAACTTCCATCTCGACCACCCACCGCATAAAGCCTGGAAGACAATCAAACCAAAATGTGCCAGTTTATTCAGTGGATCTCACTTGTGGGCAGATGGCCCAAGATTTTATGTTTTAAAAAGATGAGAAATGTGTACATAAATTCACATCTGTCAGAAATTAATTTCATTGCCAGTACACTTCTTCACTGTAAGGGTGGTCATACGCTGGAATTCTCTCACATAAAAGGCTGTAACTACCACCTGCATTAAAGTCTAAATTCAGCCAAAACTTATTTTATTGCTTTGGATAGTGTAGGGAAGAGCTACAATTTCTACCAAGTTTTAATTTCTATCTGTAACCCAGCTGAGACGACTTTCACTGGTTTTCTATGCTTCGGAAGCTCTACAAGAAATGGGGGAGCAATTGTAAAATGTCCAGGAAAGCACAGACTGAAATGTTTTTAAAAGTTCTAACCCTTCCCCGCTCTACTAAAAATGTATTTTTGTCCAAGTCCCTGTTGGAAATATTTCCCAATTGCTGTCCCAAGAGTAAGCAAGGGGATTCTATCCAACAGGGACATAGGAAAAAAAAATAAACAATTGGCAGAGGTTCTAACCATTCCCTACTATAGCTAAACCACAATAAGCTTTGCCTGGAGTTGGGATTTAATTTAAATGCAGTGAAGCAATTTCTTGCTAGAAATGGCATTCCTTCCCAGCAATAATTAGGAATAACAGTGACAAGGGTTTTACAGAAGCTGGAAACTAATTTGACATAAAAAGAGAAGTATGGGAATTTAAATAAAACAATCACTCTCACCTAGGCATTTGACACCTGCCGGCTCTAAGACTGAGAACTAAGCGATTAAACTCTGCTGATGGCTCATTTCTTGGTCTTCAGTCTGCAGAGAGCTGGCAATTGTTAGTCACCGGCTTTCTGCTCAGCCCCTCCAGTGCTCACTGGAGCACTGCACTGTGGAGAGGGCAGAAGCAGCTGGCTCAGGCTCTCAGTGGCTCACTGAAAAGCTGAACCAGCTACCGGCCAAGGCATCTGGGTGGATCTCAACAACAAAGTTGGTGTCCATCCCCAGCCTGGACCACTGAGTGACGCTGATGCCCGCTGTCAGCTGAAAACAGGTCACAGGAGTGAAAAACGAAGTGCACTCCTGTGACTCATAGGAGAAGTATAGCTAAAAGAGCTTTGGCTATACTTCTCCTGTAATGTGGAATAGAGAGAATGTCGTTTTTTCTATGGCAAGGAACCAATTTTCACCAGTAATTTACTCTTAATGATTTGATTTAGAAGAAATCATTTAACCACTTGAGTCTCCCGTGCAGTTTTAAAACCGTGCTAGTACAATGGCTGTTATAGCGTGGTTTTAATATATATCCTTGGCTTCTGACTCTACTACACACCAGTTCGTAAGAGTGGCAGAGAATGTAAAAACAATACTTCTACATCGTATTTGTATAGGAATGGACTTGACATCAAGGCATTTCCTGTTGGTATGAAGCTGAAGCTGCTCTTTCAAGCCTCTCCCTGCAGCTATAGATAACGGTTATAGTGAACGGTTATTACTGGCTGCCTTATTGTTATGAGACTTATATGGTGAGAATATCTAAACAAAAAAAAAAAGGAATAATTTTGACTTGCCTGTACAATCCATATCAAGGAGTACAGTACAGGACACAGGCTACTTATTCCCAAAGCTATGAATACATGGGTGGGCAACAACTAGGCAACAGAACAAAAACAAAATGGGTAAAAATACCAGGTTTAGAGTGCTGCTGCAAAAAAACTTGCAGCCAAAAATCAGAATAGGATTGAATGTGCACCTGGTAAAATGTTTAAAAAGTATGAACATGGTGGCCTTACAGAGTTGGGTGACAGAGGCTTTGTGCGTAAAGGTCCAGGATACTTCAACAGATATGTGGCATGCACAGGTAAGAGCGCAGGAGGAGGTGTGTGTTTTAGAGCATAAATTCTTGCAACTAAATGTCTTAAACACCTAGCAATTGTACATTTTGAAGTGGGGTGCCCCTTGAAAGGACCCAAGGAGAGGAAAAACAGGTAATCTGTTTCTTTAATGGAAGCAGTAGCTTTTAGGTGCACTCTAATGACAATGTCCAGGCTATGTAGAGAGACCTCATTTGGATTCTTAGGAGATAATACCTACACCTTCTTACTTACATTTAATTATATCCTCTCTTTTTCTAAATCTGATCCTCACATACATTGGGAGAATGGGCAAATTGATTTGCATTGGAAATACTGGCATGCAAAATCTTTTTTACTTAATTTTCTCCCCAGAAAATACAGCTGAACCACAATATTGCCAATAACAAATAGAACATAGCACTCATTTACTTACTTTCCACCAAGGACAGCTACACCAACTGTGCTTCTTGGTGTAGACATGCTAGCTACAAAATTCCACTGCCTGGCTTGAGGATCCCACCTCTCCACTGTGTTCAAATAACTCCAGCCATCGTGACCACCAACAGCATACATGGGACCTTCTAAAACCGCCACACCTATTAAAACACAGATTCAAATTATATATTTTGTGGCTAATAGTGATGAAAGTTATAGCTTTGCTCTTTAAAGCAGGGGCTATGGCATGAGTAATACAAATCTTTTTTTTATTGAAAAGAAAATGTAAACTAACATTGCATCATTCAAGGTTTCCATGGTTTTAAGGAGTTCAAAGCATGCTCAGACATGACCACACACTCTAGTTTCTTACCCAGAGATGCCTTATGCTAGCCATACAAGCATAGAATTCTCTTGTTCAGCCTGAAATACCTGAACAGTGACTCCATCTGATGGAATGCAGTCATTCACTGTGTAGTCCAGGATTGTGTTTGTGTATGTTGGGACTTACATTTGTCTTTCCAGATATCCTTTCCCCTAGCACACACACCTCACAGCTTAGTGTTTATACCTAAAAGTAGATAGCCCCTCCAGTAGATATTCTCATTAGCCAGTTTAACCACAAAAGGCAGTTGTTGGTACTTGAAAAGGCAGCAGCTGAGGATGTACACATGCGACAGCAGGAATTATACCCGCTGCCGCATTCAGGGTGGCTGAAAAACGTCAATGCCTGCCAAACTCTGCAGACAGTATTATTTCTGCCTCACTGCAATGCGAAGCAACGCTAACGCTGCACTGTGTACACCTCCATCATTTTGAGTGGCATTAATAGACAGTTGGGAAACTCATGGGGCATTTGAGAAGCATTCACTTGAATGCCTATGCAACACATCCAAAATGCTCATTAATGTTATAGTTGCATTAATGCGTGTTAAAGGCTACTTTAGAATTCAACACCTGTTCAGATTGCTCTTCAGAGAGCAGTGAGAAGGCATTGTGTCGTTTCCTCCCCACCTGCTTTAACACCTTGAAACCTGCACTAGCAGCTGCAACTGTACGCATTGCATGCAGTCGCAGGATGCATGCACAGCAGCCCCATACACTTGAGTGGGTCACCTATGGAGGGTACTATGCCTGCCGAATGACAGGGGGTGTGAATTGTTGGCTCTGGTGCCATTGAATAACTATTGAGCAGTTGTGCTATACTAATGCACATGAGTTAAAGTGGTTGTAAAGTGTAACAGAGGTCAGAATATTAGATTTTTGAGAAATAGGGAAAGAAAACAAACCTCTAAAAGAACACTTGTTACACAAAACTAAATGAAAAGCAGTACGTAAATAAGTTACCTGATCTGCATAATTGATTAGTGAGTTCCTGTGACCAGAGGGTCTGGAGGTAAAGAGTATTTCTCATCAGGGAGTACAGAATTCACTGAATTTTGTACCAAAATGACCAGAGACCTTGGCACCGACAGATTGTATCTGAGATCTCTGGCTGCATTCAAAGTACCAGATAACAAAGAAGACAGTCAGAGATTTCTTCAGTGATGGCTGCAGTTCTCCCTATAAGGAGACTAGAAAATGAATGGAAATGCTGAGACAGACTTTGCTTTCTGCACTGCTGGGTTCCCCACTGACAGCTGAATGTAAAAGAACTGCTGGAAATTAAAAAAAAATTAAACGGTGTGGGATCCCCCCCTTCAGGTCTGGTGTGAATTTTGAGGGGAATTCCCAGGGACATCACCAGACTGACCCTGCCGCACGTGACATCATTGATGTCACATTGGGTGGGGTCACAAGCGTGATGTCCCTGGGTGGCCCTGCCCCTTACATATTTAAGAACTGTCAAACCACTGGAGCAGGCAGACAGCTGGGGGCCATCGTCAGAAGCGGAGCCTTTTTTTAAAATTCCTTTTTCGGGTCGGGGGCGGACATCATGATTGACGTTGGATCTACTGCGGGGGACATTCTTTTATTTTTTTCTTTTAATAAAGGACTTGTCAAAGACCGTGTCCTGTCCATTTTCACACTACACTTTTTGATTTTTGTGAATTTTTGTGAATGAGTAGTGGTACCCCATACTCATTCACATGGGGGGGGGGGGGGGGCAGGATCTGTGGGCTACCTTGTTAAAAGGGGCTTCCAGATTGCAATAGGCCCACTGCCCGCAGACCCCCACAAGCACCGGCCAGGGTTGTGGGGAAGAGGCCCTTGTCCCCATAAACGTGGGGACAAAGTGCTTTGGGGGGGGGAGCCCCAAAGCACCCCCCCTATGTTGAGGGTGTGGGAGTTCCCCTCAAAATCTATACCAGACCCGAAGGGCTTCTTGGTATGGATGGGAGTGGGGACCCCATGCCTTTTTTTTATTTATTATGGTGCCGGTTTTTAAATGTAATTACTGATATTTTTTTTTTTTTTTTCTTCACTATTCAACTGTCACTTTCCCCCCAGCTAAAAGAAAGAAAGCTTCCTTCTAGTTTATTTCCCTGAGTTAAAAGAAGCAATGTTTCCTTTTAGTTTCTTAACTTCGGGCGAACTGACTGCTAGTTCTGTGAGCTATAGTGAAGAAAAAAAAGCCAGCAATTGTATTCAAAATCGTCACCGACATATACTTTGTATTGCAAAAAAAATTAGTAAACCGAGGCATTATTTTCAATGGATTTTTATTCGTAAACTGAAAATTACATTAACCGAGGCACACCTGTACATGTAAATGAATTGGTTTACGTGAAAGTTATAGCGTTTACAAATGGTGGTATAGATACTGGATTTTTTTTTTATTTTTACTAGTAATGGCGGCGATTAGTGGCTTTATAGCGGGACTGTGGCGGGCAATCTGACACTGGGGGGAAACTGACCTGGTGTCAGTGACATCCCCAGTGACACCAATACAATGATCAGTGCTAAAAAAAAAAGCACTGACACTGTACTAATGGCACTGGGCAGGAAGGGGTTAAAATGAGAGGCGACCAAAGGGTTAACTGTGCGCTGTTTTGCATAGTGGACTGTGTTAGTGCTTCATTGTAATCACACTGCTTTGGATGGCTGTGTTGTGCACAGCCATCCAAAGCAGTGTGTACGAGCTGACAGGGAGGAGAACTGTATTGTTTATATACAGTTCTCCTCCCCGTCGGAGATCCTCGGCAATCACCGGGCACCAGCGAGTAATAACCGTCCGGGACTCGGTGATTGACAGCCGTGGCAGGGAATGGCAGCCTGGGGAGGGTGCGTGTGCCCCATACCCAGAAATACAAGATCACGTATATGTACACGTGATTTTGCGCACCTGTGCCACCCTGTAGCAGTATATCTGCTATAGGGCGGTCGAGAAGCGGTTAAAATAAAAAACATGTTATACGTACCTGCTCTGTGCAATGCTTTTGCACAGAGCAGCCTTGATCCTACTCTTCTCGGGTCCCCCACCAACACCTTGGGCCGGTATGTAGTGTGGTATTTTGCAGATTGAATTTTGGGCTATCCACACACCACAGTATGTTTTTAACAGACCTCATCTGTGCATTGTGGTGTGCTAAAGGAAGAGAACACTGATAGTATTACAACTAGCAACTCCATGCTGTTTATCTGCAAACCAGACTTCGATAACTAACACAGAATGCAACACTAACCATGTTAGGTGTAGCTATATGTAGGCATATACTGTATATTGAGCAAATGTGGCTGCCTTTGTACATATAGAATACAAATTATAAGTTACATTTTAAAAAAAAAAGTAAATAAAAGTTTAAGATTCTTTGATAGAATTATTTACATTTAGCTGACTAGATGAGTGGCATTGGGCATGCTAACTTACCCAGACCATGCCGATGTGTGGACATAGGTGGCATGACACTCCATGTTTTTGTTTTGGGGTTATAACACTCCACAGTGTTTAGTGTTTTCAGCCCATCTCGCCCTCCAACTACATATAGCTTTTCATCCAACACAGCAACACCAAACTGGAGCCTTCGTCCATTCATGTTGGCTACTGGGGTCCATGTGTTGGTACGCAGATCATACTTTTCAATGCTTGTAGCTCCTAAAACAGTTTATTGAACAGAGCTATTTATTTGCATTCAGTGATTAACAAAACCATTAAAAGTAAAATTCAAAATATTAACATTTTGCATTTAATTCAACTAAAAGAACATAGTATACGCTTTGTGTTTCATTCTTTTCAACCTTCTCTGTGGACCCCAGCTATCCAGCTTATGGACTGCTGCCCAGCTTCCCCAGAATTTCTGCAGCTGAACACTATACCTAAAGTACATATTGATCTGATTTTAATTTTATCTGTGTTCCATATGAATGATTTGTTTAACTTGACTTGGGGCACTAGGGGTCCTTAATAAAAAACAAGTTAAAAAAAAACCCAATATTCTATGTTACACTATATTAACATTTGTTCTAATGCACTATATTACCATTTTTTTACTGCAGTGATAGATTACTGGGTGATAGAGATAAATTACCTTTGGTTGCATCCATACCCCCAACAGCAAAAAGCATGCCCACCGTTGACTTTCTAGGCTTTGTACGAGGGCTCTGTAACATTGGTCTCCTCTCAGGCAACAAATGATACTTCATAGCTTCCATAATGAGCTTCTGACATTCAATGTCATCTCTAAACAGTGCATTATTCTCCATGTCTGCAAGAAACTAATAATAGGATGCTTGATTAGTGTTTCACGAAAGCTTTCAAATCTGAAATTGTGAGGCCTGATTTGTAAATATCTGTAGTCTGCAAACTTTTAAAAGTCCATCAATACCCCAACTACTCAACTGATCAAACATTTTGTAGATCAGACATTTTATTTATATTTTTTAAAAGCATGTACTACAAGTTTCTATTCTATAAACCTAAACACATGTATGTATTCTGTAAAACATTTCAGTTTAAAAATAAAATTCCATGTGTGCAACTCAGAAAATGGATATAAAACATTTATTTTTTATTTCCAATATAGTTATTTCATCTAACTGAATTTTTAAATGATGTATTCTTAGAGTGATCCTGTGCCCAGATAATGCACGCCAAAGTATTTACATATTTTGGCATGTAGTAAAAGCACTTTAAAACAAGTCCTTATTCACCTTTGCATCTGTAAGCATTATGGAGAAATTTGAAGCAGACCTCCAGCACATTTTGTTTTAATTAGTTGTACATACAACAGTTGTCTTCAGAGGTGTATCACAGTGTTATGTCCTTCAAAATCAAAGTTTGAGCTGAAGCTGAAAAATACAGTTATGGCTGTACTTCTGACCCAGTGGGGTTATGAAAGCTATGACTCTCAGGGAAGCAATCGTGTTATTTAGCCGACCCTCTTTCCCATTGTCAATTCACAGAATGCTGTTTAACACTCCAAAGGTTGTATGCTTGAAGTTATATAAACCCAAATTCGAGTATAGATCTTTGGTGAATTAACTCATAATGTTGTGCCCAAAACATAGAAGACAAACATTTACATGCAGTATATATGGTACGTTATTGAATTTCATACTGGTTCTGACAACCTGAAGAACCATAATACCTGTGGTGCCAACAGGGGGTAAACGGATAAAAGCCAGTAGTTTGCTAAGGTCCATTTCTCCTTTGTTCTACATCATGCCGTACCCAGGTGAGCAAGGCATTCAAGATGGTTTCTTCATTAGGAATGTTCATATCATCACTTGCTAAAAGTTTAGAAATTTCAGCAGCTGGCAATAATAGAAACTCCTGATTTCTTATTACTTCCATGAAATGTTCCTATAAGCAATAAAAAAAAACAATATCAATGTATCAGTCTGGTTCCTGCATACTATATTAGTTAGATCATTAGCACCTATTAGTGAAACAGCATCCCATGTATGGTAACAATGGATTGAGGCCGATTTTCTTAAAAACCAAAGCACAAGAGACATTACTTACAATGTGTCACTTGTGCTCCTGGCTATAGGATTACTATAAATTTTCATCCTCAGATTTCCCACTTTGCCCCCATTCCCTTCCCGTCGTAATATTATGGTGCAGCAGGGGAAAACAGAAGGACCTGTGACAGACACTCATCGAGACTGGACAACTATGCTGCCCTTTATGTCCACCTTCTCAATTCACAGAATCCGTACTATGGATTCTATGAGCAAAACATGAGGAGTGGAGGAGGACGACGACTTTTCATTCATCAGCCCGTTCTCCATTCATAGATCACATTTCATCCGTAGAAGATGTAATACTACTTTTATGGATGGAGTAGGTGGGGGCCAAGGGCGGAAATAGTCGACACTCTTGATGAGTGCCTGTCACAGGTCCATCTGCGTTATTAACCCCAGCCAAACTGGAAGATTACGATGGTGGGGGTAGATGGGGAATAGAGAAGAAAGATTTAAAGTAATCTTGCAGCCAGCAACACAAGGAACACTTCAGATTCACTGTATGTAATGTCCCTTGTGCTGATTTTTTTTATAGGCCTTAAAGCAGTGGTACTCAACCTTCCTAATGCCGCGACCCTTTAATACAGTTCCTCATGTTGTGGTGACCCCCAACCATAAAATTATTTATCCAGTAATTATAATTCATGAAGTGTCGTTTTACCTCCAATACTGCTGCTTTCAACAGAGTAGCTGCTTTTAACAGAGTAGCTGCTTTCAACACAGCAGCTGCTTTTTATACATTGGAAATATGTGTTTTCCGATGGTCTTAGGCAACCCCTGTGAAAGGGTTGTTCGACCCCCAAAGGGGTCGCGACCCACAGGTTGAGAACCACTGCCTTAAAGGAACTGAGAACATTCACACAAAAGCAAGAGATTGTGTGAATATTTACTTATTATCAAATCATGTGAAAAGCAAATCTCTGTTTATTTCATCTGTGCATCTCTCTCTCATCTCTTACCTTCACTTTTCTTTTACAACAATGGAACAGAATGGCTAAATATGACTGTGGAGTCCAGTAAGCAACAGAAAAGACCCAATGCTCTCAGTAACTTACACAGAACTGGTCAAACATGCCCTCTTCTCTTCTCTGCAGTTCAAGTCTGTATTTTTGATGTAGTGTGTGGCCATTACTCAGCTCTGCCAGCACAGACCACTGCAGTGTGTGAGGGCAGGAGTTGGCCTTTTCACGAAGAGAAAGGTTTTAAAAAGGCATTTCTGCTACAAAATCATGATATGGAGGGGTACAGGATTATAAAGTGATAAAAATGTTTGAGATTTCCAACTGGGCTTTAAAAAAAAAGGAATATTGCTCAGGCTACAACACAAGCAATGAGCAAGTACAAGTTTTCAACCCAACAATGGCTTGCAGGTGGAGCAGTTTTTTCAGCCTTATCACTGCTGATTTATAAAAAGTGCCAAGCAGCATCGGGGGTCTGTATCTCACTCACAAGGAATAATGGCCATCCTGATGTAGGCTGAGAGGCTGAAAAGATGTATTGCAAGCTTTAAATGGTACCAATGTATTATTTGGGTGGTAGCCCACAGTCTGCTCTGTTTCTGAATCAACCTCTGCTGGTTTCCTGGTGATTACAAAGAGCCTGCTAAACTGTGGGATTATTTTTTTTTACCTTCAGTGTAGTTAAAAAGGATATATAATTATTGTACCTCTTTGTTAATAAAACTAAATGTACAAAATTGTGCTGCAAGTTTAAATATCAGACAGCACTACTGTACATAGCTTGTATTTGTAGCACTGCAGTAAGGCTCCACTGAGAATATGTTGCAAATTCTGTAGTAGTTGTGCACCAAATACTATTTACAGAAATAAGAGTTTATAAAAACTCCCTGCCTGCTAGCAGAAGCCCTGCGAACTCTGATCAAAAAGTGATCTGTGTGCGCTTTAACACATTTGCAGTGTTTACTAGACACATAGGGCTGTTTTGCATTCAAAATACATCAGCATCCACTAGCTTGTAATCTTTTTAATACAGAAGAATAAAAGAAAGGGTTACTTCATGAAAGTGTTTCAGAGTGAAATGTGTCAAATGGAACCAAGGGGTCTTCTATTCCTGCCTTCATCGCCTGTGCTCTCTCCTTTTTTCCTGTGTACAATCCAGTGATAATGGAACATTGTTTTCTCATCATGGCATTGCTACAATTGTGCACAGCCTGTTCTAGCAGATGGATGAAAGATGTACGCCAGGAGCACAGTGTTCCATATGATCTGAATTCTTTCCACACATATTTCTGTAACACTTTCTCTCAGAAATCCTGCCACTATAACACATATTTTGGACTGTCTAAATGCTTGCCCAAGTCTGATAACGTTAAACACATAATAAAAAAAGGTATATACATTCAATTAAGCTTTCTGTTGTGTAAACAGAGGAGAAAACCTGAAATATAATACTTTTATGTAAGATCCACTATAATTCATTAGTACTTGGGGTATAAAATTACAAAGACGGAAATTAGTATGATGAGGGGTAAACTAACCTCATGTACACTCTCTGGCCACTTTATTAGGTACATGTGCTCTAGGTAGTTCATTGATGGTTCCTGTCATTGTACAACTGTCTGCCTGCAAGGTACATGCTGACAGTTTACAATGACATTCTGCGTATATATTTAAGATGAACTTATCCTTTAAAGTTTAACTATAGGCAAAACTTTTTTTTTCATTTTGGGTAAAGTAAGGGGGGGGGGGGGGGGGGGTATAACGCCTGAAAGGTTTATGTTCACGCTCTGTCTGATTGGGGAGATTTACCTTAACTTCCTGCCCCATAGCCAAAACAGGAAGTGAAAGGAAATCCCTGCAAATTAATAGAATCTCTTGGGAACCCCCAGGTCACTGGAACTAGTGTCCCCATTGGACGATTTCCCCTCTATCAACTCTCTGGGGACAACCCAGAATTTAGAATTTTCTTTTACTTTCAAGGATAATGGTAAACAAGGACAAATAGCGAGGACGAACCTCCCTCACACAGACAGGGATTAGAACACTTGTTAGGTTTTTATTGCTCTCTCCTCTATCAAAAACAAAACAAAAAAAAGTCAGAAAAGTACCTTCTATTTCTCCCTATTGCCAGACAGGAGGTGAGTGGAAATCTGATGTTCTAACCCTTCCCAGTTTTTCAGAGTTTGGCTTTAAAACCCATGTTATAATTCTCAGCCTCCTTCAAACTCTTTTTGTTGCTGCTGTGATCAGACTTCCTATTGTAGGGTGGCTATGTTCACTCTAAATCAGGGGTGGGCAAACTTTTTGACTTGAGGGCCGCAACGAGTTCATATATTGGACCGGGGGCCGGACCAAGAGTAGATGAATGATGTGTATGTGTCATCCATAGTAAGTATAGTAATATTCCCCCATAGTAAGCATAGTAATTAATCCCCCATATAGTAATTCATCCCCATAGTAATTAGTAATCATCCCCCATATAGTAATTCATCACCCATAGTAATTAATCCCCCATATAGTAATTCACCCCATAGTAATTCATCCCCCATATAGTAATTCATCCCCCATAGTAATTCATCCCCCATATAGTAATTCATCCCCCATAGTAATTCATCCCCATATAGTAATTCATCCCCCATAGTTAATCCCCATATATAGTAATTCATCCCCATAGTAATTCATCCCCCATAGTAATTCATCCCCCGTATAGTAATTCATCCCCCCTATAGTAATTCATTCCCCATATTAATTCATCCCCCATATTAAGTCCCCAAGTCCCCCTGTGTCAATTTACTTACCTTTGCTCCGCGCGTTCCTCTCGCCGTGTTCCCGCGCCGTTCGGTCTTCAGGGCGGACTGTGAGAGGAGCCTAGCTCCCCTCACGTTCGTCACGCTGCCCCGCCTACACACATCCTGTCAGCCATCCTGACAGTATCACGCTCACGGGCCGGATTAAAAGGTCCGCGGGGCCGTACACGGCCGCGCCGTAGTTTGCCCATTGCTGCTCTAAATGGTCCTATGGCATGTAGGAACATAAACCACACTTCTGCTTGCTCCCAAGATGGGCTATGGGAATTGTCGTGTACATAGAGCAGTGCACATGATCCCAACTACCGTGCACTTTCCATTCCAAACAAACAGAAGTGATTCGGAATGGAGAGAGTTCTGAAGCTCACCGAGGACATTACAAGGAGGAAAAAAAAAAACCACAGAAACAATTTCATGAAAAAATAGATTACAGGGCCATTAAGTAGTGGACGTTTATGGATTATTTTTGTAGAATATGGATATCATTTAGTGTTACTTTCAGCCTAGGTTCACACTATGGATTGCATGTGATTTGTGCAGGAACCGCACTGCATTCCTGTGCAATTCACATGCGATTCTGTGAGGTGCAATTTGAACTTATTCATTTTGAATTGCTCAAATGGCACTGCATCCACACCAAAAAAGCGCAGGCACCTGTTTTTATTAGATGCACTGGAACCATTTTGCAGGATTGTCTATACCCATGGGATCCGGTTCAGACACTGCGTTTGCGACCTGCTTTTGGGGTGTCTTTAACTCTCAATTGACACCTGAAGCAGATCGCAGAACACAGTGCGATTGTGATGTGGGAAATGCACAGGTATCGCTGCATTTCCCATAGCACATATGTGTGAACTGTGGCTCAAAGGTATTGTAGCGTGGGATATTCACTGGCAAAACAAGTTTGATTGGTTTGCTAATCCATACTTATTAATAGCTACAGGAATATCAGTCTGGTCCATCTAAAAATGGGGATGTACATTTAACCTGAATGTATGTTCATTAAAAAAATCCCAATCAGTAAATAATTGACTATGAAGCGATGATATTTAGGAGGGGTACACATCAAA